CTGAAATAAAAATATTTATATATAAAGGTCAATTATTTGAAATTATTGCAAATAAGAAACTAAGCTAATTTTGCATAATATGAATCAGTGATTCTAGTCAATTATAACTCAAATTTAAAACTTGTGCCAATCAAATTTAAACTTATAACTTATACTCATGACTCAAATTTACTTCCAGACATATAAGAAATATATCATTACAATATATTAATAAATCAAATTAGTAATCAATGTATGAGTATAAAATATAAGATACTTATCTTAGTAAATTATCTGTTGTTTAGTTTAATTTCCAAAAATTCACCATTTTACTATTTTAATAAACTTATAATTAGTTTTATAAAATTTTTTGCAGTATTTATTTTTGATCATATCAAGCAAAATACAAATCAGAATAACATTTACTAATATAAAAAGTGTTTTGGATAATTATTCTATTGAATTTTCTTTACCTTATTAGTTCAGAACTATCAAACCCAACATGTTACTTATTGTTTGTCTCATAAACATGACTAGTATATGTTTTTTTATTATTTTAGCAAATAAACATAAAGATAATTACATTTATATTATAAATCTAGTCCATTATAACACAACTTGCTCAACATTTACAAAGATGTTTAAAGCATATAAATTATTTCTTGAAAAGTTTACTATACTGTTAGTTCAAGATATAGTAACACTTCATCTTCATAATATTGTAAACTGTATATATTTTGAAGTAGAGGCTGAAGCATCATACATAGCATCTTGAAAAGTTTAATTACAAATAAAAGATGTGAAGTAGCAGAAATAAATAAAAGCTATTAGTATATTAACTTACTACTAAATAATTTGCTTATAGCAAATCTCAGGAGTATTATAGCATTTAAAATTGATGCTTAAAACCAATTTATATATATATTTTTATATTTATGATCATGGATTAAAGCTGTTGAATATTGTAGACTTGTATTTATTCTTGATGCTTGCTATTTAAAGTCAAGTTATAAAGATGTATACTTTAGTGCAAATGCAGTTGATGGTGAAGGCATATTAGTTTCTATAGCTTTTGTTATATGTTCAATTAAAAATTCTAATAATTGGACATAGTTTTGTGAGCATTTATATAAGGTTCTTCTAGTAATAAACTTAAATAAAACTGCAATTATTACTAATCATAAAAAATATATATATTTTTTTTAAAATATAATATTATAATTTTTTTAAAACATATTAAAAAAAAATTATGTAATGTATCTTGGATGCTACACACTTTATACTTCCAAATGCTTTTTATATGTATTGCATATAGCATATTAAAAAAAATATTAACACTAAATTTAAAGCAAAACTAAAGAAAAATCTGAGTTGTAGTAAAGATTTTATATATAAAAGATTTTAATGATATCTTAGATGAAATCTTTATTATGAATATAGAGGCTGCAATCTATCTTAATAAAATACAATATCTTATATAATATAGACTTTTAGTAAATGCTCTCAAAATAAATACAGTTATCTTACTTCTAATATATCTGAATTCTTAATTTATGATTATATACTGAACATTTTGTAAACCTATTTGAGATAATTATTTTGTTTGTATATAAAGTTAATTCACTTTTTTATGATTGTTGTATAACATATTCTTTTGTGCAGACAATATTACTACCAACTATTGTATAAGAACTTTAGTAACTATTAATAAATGCTGTAATTAAGTAGTATAGTCAAACCTCTCTATAATCACACCCTTGGTTTTAAAAATTTGGTGCTTATAGAGAGTTTGTACCTATATAGAGGTTAAATTTTATAAGTGCTATATAAGTTGGTTTTGAAAATTTATATGATTATAAGCTAATATGACTATAGAGGAGGTGACTATAGAGAGGTCTGACTGTACATCAAATTAACAAATCACTTTTTGAATAAAAAATAATAATAGTAATTTTCATATTATAGATCTTATTTCATTAATTTGTATTTGTCAAGAATTTTAATAATATTAATTTCTGTGTTCACATATGTGCTACCATTCTTAAGAAAAGTTAACAACTATCAAAGTTTATTTATATCATATACTATATTGTCACTTTACAAAATGTTTATAAAGAATCAGTTTATCCTATCAATATTAAAGCTTGTTTTTCTAATAATAAAACTTTATTACCAACTACTATAAAACAAGCAGAATAGCTACAAAAAACTCAATTATACAACTGTAGAGAAACAGTACTAGAAGATTAGAATATATATAAAAATATAGTAAAAAAGGCTATAATATGTCTATTTATAATTAAAGATGCTAACAAAAAATTAAAAAGTTTATATTTATATACTACTAATTGCATTAAAATGTTTCACTAACTCAATACTGATTTTTTTTTTTTAAATAAATTGTTATAATTATAATTTTATTTATTTTTTAATTAAATAAAAAAAAATACTATTGAACAAAATCAGTATTATATATTATTTTATTTTATTTTTTTTAACATTAAGATTCCTGCCTTTGCAGATCAATTTTTTTATTCAAGTATTTAGACACAAATGCCTCTAGGGGCTTCTATACATAGAAGGTTACAACTAGTCACATATATACTTTTGATGCCTAATTTAAGTAGTTTGCCTATATATTACTATACAGATTCTATACTAGGTGTCATATTTGCAAGCCAACTACAGGTCTTGCTTATTTAAACTCTTTATATATGTAATCTGACTTGTGATCATGGGGACATCTTCTAGGTTACACTTATCCAAAATACTTGATGCTTTTGAGACCCTTATAGCTAGTTTATTCTTGACAAGAAACTTACTAGAACCTTTTATATCCTACACATAACTGATCTAGTTTTATGCAATATGCTATAGTTACCTAATACTTGCAGTCATAGAGGTTACTTGTTTAACCACTATGTTATACTATTTCTACTTTTGTAAAGTTCTCTAGAACTTCAGTATCTATCATTGCGATGTCTTCTACATCATTCCTTACTAACTGCTACTTAGAACTAATAGAACTTCCCTGACTTTCAATCCAGATAGTTAGTATGGTATACTTATATATTCTTTTTCTTTAGTGATTCCAGTAACCTGATTGGTCATATGCTCATCTATACATCTTGACATTTAGTTTATCTATTTATCTCTTTGGGAGTGTTTCATAAGTTTCCATTGGTCTGATTATACTGTTGAAAGTTTATGTTATCTCTTTACTCCAGAATTTTCAAGTAGACTTCTAATTCTTCAGTTCTTAGTTTACTGCATCTGGTTTTATTATGAGTTTGTACCAAAGTCTTATATGACACTGGTTATACATTTCTCTATATACATGTAATGTTACATTTAGCATAAATGTCTTGAGCTCTCATTTGAGATGATATGACTTAAGATTATAGATACATAAATTTAACTGATTGTTAAGAGACAGTTTGCTATAATACAAATTAATTTCCAAATTTCATCATAGGTGGGATTTGAATCTTAGACCTGTCACTTGGAGGATGACAACCTGACCATTATACTAGGATTGCCATTCTCTTATATATTACCCTTTTAGTACAATACATTACTTTTGTATATATAATATACTTATATAAAATAACATTAAAGTTTTCTTAAAAATAAATTATGGTACACATTCAACTAAATTAATTATAAACTTCATGTTTCAAAATAATGTCTTGGGATATAATTTGTACAAATACAGTATTAACTTAAATGTGATTAAGATGAGTAATTATAACAATATTATGCTGTAATAATCTTTGATTCTTATTTGTAATAATTTCAAATATTTAGACCTTTATATATAAATATTTTTATTTTAGACCCTCATCAATAATTATTTTTGATTTTGAACCCTTATATATAAATTCATCATATTTTTACTTGTTATTATTAGTTGAAAATCAAGTTGCTTTTGTTTTAAAAGTTGGTTTTTTGACTAATATTGTGTTATATATAGTTATATTTATTAAAACTTTTTTGAAAAGATTGAATGAAAAAACTTCTCCTAGTTGTTTGGAAATATTTTCTTTGTTGTTACTGTTTGACTTACTGTTTTTTCTTTTTATTTGCTTTATTTAATTTGTTCTATTCTCAGTTATCTTCTTGTTGTGCACAAAATACATGTTGGATCAAAATTATTATTATTTATCATTAATATCAACCTCTATACTGTATTCTTTGTTTTTAATTTGTTTGTTTTGATGAAGTATAGGTAACAAGAAATTATATTCACAGTGATGATCTTTAAATATATTTTTATTTATCTATGAGAAATTTAAAAACTCTGCTCGGTCCTGCGCGGAATTTTAAAAAAATCAGGATTTTTTCAGGCCTACCGAATAATTGATTGTGAGGCAATTAATTGCAATTTTTTGAACTCAATTAATTGATTGGTGGCGCAGTCACAATGAGTCAATTAATTGCAATTTTTGTGTAATGAATTATTTGCGTGACGAATAAGGGTTCACTAATGTGTTTAATTAGTAAATCCTTATTTGTCACATATAATGATTCATCGCAACCATGTGATAAATGGTAATTAATTGCAATTAATTGCAATTATTTCGGCATTAATTGGGTTTCATGATAATTTTAATTGATTTTAATTGTATGACGTATAACAAAAATTAATTTTAATTAATTTTTCGGTAGGCCTGGGATTTTTCCATCGCCAGACGGCAGTCATAATTAGTGCACCATAAAAGTAAATCAAAGTTTGAGTTTTAAATCAAACATTTGATCAAGTCAAATTCGATCAAATAATTCATCGAAACGAGAGACAAAAATAAACTTGCATTAAATAAATTCAAAGTATATTACATTTTAATCGGCATAATTTTAAATTTAGGCACATTAATTTTAATCAACATTATTTGAAATATGCATTTTTATTTTGATCATTATTTATTTTGGCTAATTTTCATAATAACTACCTATTTCATGTATTAAAATATAATTTTATACTTTAAATTAAAAAAAAAACATTATTAACATTAATTTATTAGTTAATTGTTTCTTTTCAACCCCTTAATGGCATTCTCAATTTGTTTATAGTTGTCCTTAATGGCATTCTCAATTTGTTTATAGTTGCTTGTTTCTGATTTTTTTAGCTCTTTAATTTGGCGTACAATTCGGTTTTCGAAATTTTTTAAGTCTTCAATATTCAATCTAATTTCTGTAAGAGAGGGCTCTTCTTCAGGGAGTTGAAGGACTTCTTTAATATTCTTTGAAATGTAAGGCTTTTTATAGTCTGACGGATTATTATTTTGAATAGTATCAATTACATGTTCACGAAGTTTAATTGTGTGGCATTCATAAAACCTTTTAAGATAAAAAATAGATAAGCAACAGAAATAAGGTTTTGTCTTTGCATGTAATTAAATAACTTACGCAACAACTGGAAACCAATTTTCTTTTCTTCGTTGATAAGGTAACATATATAATAACTCAATTTCTGCAATAATCTAAAGAAAAATAAACAGTGAAATTTAAAATTCTTTGATTTAAATAACTTTAAATAATTGTACGCTCTATTCAAAAAATACCTCACTTATTAAATTCAAATAGGCAATATGACTGTGTTTATTATCACTAATTAAATTATTAAGAATTCCAATAAATAAATTCATTAAGTAAATTAATGTAAAAAATGAAACTGCAATCATCAAGAGCATTATTGTAACGTCTTCATTTGAAATCCATAAAGAAATAGGAGTTGAATCTCCTAAGATAGTATATTAAATGAATAATTTTTAAGTAAGATTTAAGAATAAGTATTGATAAAACTATACAGCACATTACCTGTAATCATCATGTAATAAGCTGCAACAATAGAAGAACCAAATTGTTCAAACATATTTGAATCTAAATATTTAAATAACGATATAAGTTATTAATAAACATATCTATAAGCAAATTAGCAAAAAAACCAATTATTAGATAAATACCTCGAGATTTCATAGTCGCATATTGTAACAATAGATATAAGGAGCATGCAAATGCAAGTATAATAAGTCCAAATATTATTAAAAAAGATGTTACTTTATCTACAGTATTCATAATCATAGCAAAATAGATTCCAAAAAATTCAACATAACGACAAAAAAGAATAAATTTTAATTCAAGAAATAATGTTGAAAACGCGATAGCCCAAGTTGAAACAGTGCCGCGTTTTAACCAATAATAGAAGTTACTGTAGTAGACATTATAGCACCAAGATCTATTAAAATAATAAATAAGTAAGAACGTGTATATCTTGAACATTTTAATAAAAATTTACCTAGATAATTCCAGATACTTAAAAAATAACTTGAAGGTGAGTAAATAAATTGACGAACTTCAAAATATAAATGCCAAAATCCAAGAATCATGATAATGTTCAAGAGAAGCTTTTGATCATCCCAAGAAATATCATTAGATAAAAAGGAAACATAAAGGAAACTACAAAAAAAAACTGTATAAATTGCCCAAGTTGCAAAATAATATTTTCTGCCATAAGCATTCCATTTAAAACTAAGTAATGCTTCTCCATTTAAATATCCATAAAATTTTTCATTTACAAATTCAATCTCGTTTGAATATGTAAAAAGACTAGGACTAGGTAACAAAAATTCTTTCAAAAAATTGTAATCTTTTGGATAAGAAACAAAGTTTGGGAAAGGAATTGCAAGTATGGTTGAACTATGACCCATATAATTAAAACCAATAATTGGTTTTAGAATAAATTTTCGAAAAAAAGAATGATTTGTTAGAAAATTTTTAAAGAATAGAAAGCTCTGTTGAAACCCAATCCAATAATTCCAAAATCTGGAAATTAATGTATCAAGAATTGATGTTTTAGATAATTGATAATATATTCCATAACTGGAAAGATGAGAAGAAGTAGAGTTTGGAATCACAATATTAGAAGTAACCACGAAACCTATCATAGATAAAGTACTTGCTATAAATGTAGGATAATTTTCTGATAATTCCTTGAAGTTTTCAAAAATAATACATAATAAAGAAATTTTAGAAATAAAATGATTATTATCTTGCACAAACTTATTCATACAACTGTCACCTAAAAATCTAATCCATTTATCATCATTAAATTTAATGAATGTTTTCATGAGAATATTTCCGTAGCAAGTTAAATAAAATTCTTCTTTTATATTATCTTCCAAAAATATTTTGAAAAGCTGTTTTTCTTCTTTGCCAAATTTAATATTTAAATTCATATAGATTGTTTCATAGCTTGAAGCAGGAAGAATTCTTCCCGGAGTCCAGTCTTTAAGGAGACTTTTAAACCTTATCCTTTCAAATTCGAACCCTTCTAAACGATTATTCCAATAATTCCAATAATAATGCATCTTAATTCCAGAATTTTTGTAAGTCCAGATAATTACACCAATACGTGTAATCGTAATGAAATCGTCATTTTCGAGAATTTCACAGGATAGTACATAATTTTTTCCATTAGGATAAAATGATGGAAGAATATCCAGATGCTTTTTTTTTTTATTCATTATTTTAAGACTGACTGATTTATTGTCTATTTCTAATCCCCATTTTAAAAGTACCCCTTGAAATTCTTTTTTGTCAGTATTATATTCATCAATTAAGTTGTTTATACTATCAATTGTGTTTTTAGATGGAGATATAATGCAATTTGTGTCATTCAATTCTTTTCGTAAGTAATAAATCCAATTATCATAATCAGGTACTAATTCTTCAATTAAAACTGTTCCGTCAATCGTATAAATTATTTTATCCGATATTTCATCTGATCGAATTATGTATGGTTCCTTAATTTGAATTTTATGCCTTTCAAAAAGCTCACTTGCATCTATTGGATTTTTTAGGTTATAAGGGTCCATTAAATTATAGTCATCATCGTTTGAAATATATAATAATCTCTCTCCTTTTCTAGAAGCGATCAAATGGATTCTATTGATTACCAATTTTGTAGTGACTAAAAATAAAACCAGAATTTAATATAAATGAAATTTATATGAGCGGTTATTTATTTTAATATGAGGACTTACAAGATGACAGATTTATCCCAGTTTCGGTGGAAAAAACATATACACGTGTTTCCCTAGTTGCCTTATTTCTTGAACACACTACTATTAATTTTTCGTCATTGCTAATTTCAATATTTTCAGGTGTAAAATTCCAATCTATTAAAACACGAGTTTTAATCGATAATTCTTCAACATCCCACATCATGATTTCATAAATAGTATCATTAAATATAATCAATTTGCCTTTGAGAGTAATATAAGTTTTTTTAAAATATTTCAGCTCAATCATTGATTTACAATCCCAACTAATATTATCTTTATCTGAAAAAACATACGCTCTATAATATTTAGCGTTGACCATAATAATATTTCCGTTATCAATAAAGGATAAATAGTCAATTTCCTTTTGGTGATCTGGAAATTTTAATAATATCTCTTTTTCATTTTCAGAATCTAAAATTTCTTGAAAAATGTGCAAAATATGATAAATGCGATTGAATTTATTGAAATAGTAATAATGTTAAATTTATGCATAACTTACTGAAATTATAGGGTTTGTCTCTATAAATACTGAATGAAATATATTTATCTGAAATTGCAAATATTTTTTTGCCATTTCTTTTTATGTGAATCTTGCCAATATTGATTATTTTTTCAGGCTGTTCAATAGGCCAAAGACTAATATTGCCATATTCGTACAACGCAGCAACATATTTTAAATTAGGCGAGCAGACAATTTCTGAAATTTTCATATATTTATATGGTTCCTCCTCTATTGGAATTACATAAGAAATATCTGTCATTTCTAATTACCTTTGATTTTTTAACATGAATAATGAAATTTCAATATTTATAACGTCAGTAAATAAAATAAAATTCAAGCAAAGATTTTAGTCGTAGTTGAAACCTTTGAAGATTCATACTAAGCCATAATCTGTAAGTAAATATTTAATAATATTTGTAAGCCATAATATGTAAGTAATTATTTAGAAATATTTGTGGCAATATATTTTTTAACGTTTTCTGTTTAAAAATTATAGCGCCCGCCCATGGCTCCGCCGCGGAAGTTTTGAAGAATTGCGTAAAATTTGATAATTTCTCATTTTACGTTAACGTTAAATATTAATTGACTGTGCTGTTTGATTTAAAATAATGCACGTGCTTTACAATTTATAGTCAATTAGAACCCGAGAAATATATAGATAGGTCCGATCTAATTTGTTTATTTCATGCCAAATTTACTCCAACAATGTTTATTTTTGACAAAATTTACTATTTAAAAATGTAATATTATATTTCTCAAAAATTATTTTTTTAGTATCCTCTGACCTATCTACGAATAGCTCGGGTCCAAACTATTTATTTCTCATATAAAAACGATATAGTGAACTTTTTTTTTTTTAAAAAAAAAAAAAAATCCTTCGCGAGTTCATTTTGGAGTTTATAAAAGACTTTCAAAGAAAACCGATTTAATTATTTTAATTATTTCTTTTTTTAGAGCTAAAAGACAATCTAAAAATATTGTTTGATGCAATTTTGAGAATATAATGGAGCTATGAAAATTGTGAAGTTTATTTTTTTATAAACGTAAAGTTTGTTGATTAAAGTTATTCATCTTTGCAATGTTACAACTTTAAGCATAAAAAAGAGTTTCACACAAAAATGTCTGTTCTGTCGATCAAAAATATGTCGATTCTCAATCGACACGTGTTATTTTTCAATCTCCACCGAAGTCAGTTATTAGAATTACTAAAGTGATTGATGATGTAATGGCTCTCCTGGATCGAGTATAACTTTTTGATCGAATCTTTACGTTAGCTAAATGATAAATACACGCTATATAATAGATAGAAAGTCGATATGATAAACATTTGAACGTATTGAAAAAAAGAAAAAACCAAAACCTTCCGCATAACTCGAATTTTAAACATTAGGTACTCATACTTTCAAAATTTCTTATACCCATATAGCTGAAGAGCATTATTTAATAAAGCAAGCCGGAGATAATTTAGAGACACATATTTGTTCAATTGAAAGTTTTATAAAATAATTTGCTCTTAAATAAAAATTCGTGTAAAGTATTGTTAACCCTATAGCAAGTTGAATATACAATTCACAAATGTAAAGCTTGTATCACCAGACGAGCTTTTAAAAAAAATTCTATCGATTTGTCCAATAATTTCCAAAGCTTTTCTAAACTACGTAAGTAAAAACCAACTTTTCTAACAATGATAAATGCAGTAATTAGCATTATTATAAACAGTTTAAATTTTGATTTAATATTGTATAGTATAGTATTAATTATTTGGCAACATTTCAGGTAACACTCGAGAGAAGGTACTCATGAAAATCGACTTAATTGCTGCTGGCATTGTACATAATGCCAATTGTAATACTAAAACTAGTTCTTGTCGAAGGGTGTGTCTATGCAGTTGTCTATGCGATCAGTGTAGAAAACCTTTTTTTTTTTGCATGCAAAGTACACCTGAAGTTACAACTTCAGGCAGATATCGATTTCAGGAGCAACAATTCCAATTTTATTTACATTGATTTATTGAATGAACATAAAGATCTTTAATAATAAATGCATTTAAATAAAAGCTAATTGAAAAAAATAGTCTGAACTTTGCTCATTACGACATTTGGCCTGGGCAGTATGCATGCGCAACTGTTCTTATTGTCCGTCGACTCATATTTCTATGCGCTTGATGTCCGAAATTGCGACTTTTATGCTTTTATGACAAAACTATCAAAAACATAATTTCAGCAGTTTCCGTCTGTTCTACTCAAAAATTTTAGGTCTCGAACTCTGAGAGTTGTCTTTTATTTCTGGAGATAACCTCCATTTATATAGTAAACTTTACATATATATGAATAACGCGAATTCTAATTCTTCTAGCTATTCTAATTTTTCTCGTTATTCTTATTTTTCTTACTCTTCCCGAATTCCAGGAATTCCAGAAATTGTACAACACGGTCGATCTGCCCTTTTAAAACGTACGTACGTGCTGTATCACAGATTTTTCACTTTATAATGTATGTACGATATTACGTAATCGGCCTCCTATTCCGGTATAAATGCTTAAGTTTCGATTAAAAATTCAATTTTAGTTCCACCAATAAATTTATAAATACTCACATAATCCTGCCTTTCATTAATGATATCAAGTGAAGATTTATAAAGCATTTAAATAATCAACTTACAGAAACGGCCAGTAAAAGACGAAATTTCACGAAACAAAACTAATCTTTGAACAATAATAAATATGTTACACGACGTTAACGAGTCACAAGGTCTTTTAGACAAAAAAATAATTGAAGAACTATGTGAATTGCATGAAAAAGAATTATTCAAAGGATGTTATGATTTTGAATTTATTAATTCAATAGAAAGTTATTTGGAAAAAAATCAATTAAAGTCAGAGGACTTAATTAATTTGTGCTTAAACAATCAAACAAATTCTATACTTTTAACTATTCTCGCACGTTGTTATCGTTATGGAAAATGGGTCGAAAAGGATGAACATAAATCGTTCATTTATTATAAAAAGTCTGCTGATATGGGAAATTCTTATGGAATGTGTGATCTTGGCGAATTATATGAAAGAGGAATCGGAGTTAAAGAAGATAAACATAAAGCATTTATTTATTATCAAATGTCAGCAGAAATGAATGATCCTTGTGGATTAGATAGACTTGCTTATTGCTATAGAGATGGAATAGGTGTTAAAAAGGATAGAAATAAAGTATTTTTTTATTCTAACAAATCAGCAAATATGGGGCATGCTAGTGGAATGTTGTGTCTTGGCCATTGTTTTCGATATGGAATTGGAACTAAGAAAGATGAACACAAAGGATATATTTATTATCAAAAATCTTCTGATATGGGTAATGCTAATGGAACTTATCATATTGCTTGTTGTTATCATTATGGAATTGGAGTTGAAAAAGATGAAAATAAGGCATTCGTTTATTATCAAAAATCTGCAGATATGGGTAGCGCTAGTGGAATATATAGTGTTGCTTATTGTTATCAAAATGGAATTGGAGTTAAAAAGGATGAAAGTAATGCATTCATTTATTATCAAAAATCTGCCGATATGTGTTATGCTAGTGGAATTTCTCAAGTTGGTTATTGTTATCATTATGAAATTGGAGTCAAAAAAGATAAATATAAAGCATTCATTTATTATAAAAAAGCTGCAGATATGGGAAATAATGTTGCAACATACAATGTCGGTTACTGTTATCATAATGGGGTTGGAATTCAAAATGATATAAATAAAGCGTTCATTTATTACAAAAAAGCTGTAGATATGGGGTATACTAATGGAATGTACAAAGTTGGTTATTGCTATCAACATGGAATCGGAGTTGAAAAGGATGAATATAAATCATATCTTTATTATCGAAAATTAGCTGACAGCAAATCTGATTAAAGCAATACAAACATTAATCAGTTATTAGATCTAAATTTTAAAATCTATACAATTTCATTAGGCTACCAGATATTATCTGATAATATAAAATTTCAATTTACTTATTAGTAAACCTGAATTATATATAAATTTAAAATCTTATAATCTTTCATATTAATATCTTTTTATAATATAAGTATAGTTATTGTATTTTTTCAGTATACATAAATATATAGTTTAGTATATTTCATAAACTAACAATTTTATTAGCTACATTGGTTATTCAAAAAATTTTAAATAACGCTAGTGGTGCTCAACAACATAAAATTTTTAATTTAAGTTTAGGGTTAAAAATTAGGATTAAATCAGTAAAAATTAGAACCAAAATAAAGTTTGGGTAAAGTATTTTTGGAACGTTAACCATTTTATTTAGTATATCCAACGCTGGTAACTTAGACAGTTTTTGGGATATGGCCGTATTTATTTATGTACGGCTATATTTAACATATTAGTGCATCACAAAACTACTTTTTGAACAATTAAAAATGAGTTCTAAAAATGAAATATTTAATTAGAATTTTTTAAAGTATGGATTTCTGGGTTTAAGAACTTAAAAACTATTAAAGTGACAGAAGTCATGCGATCGAAAGGAGAAGTCCCTTTTTGCGCAACATTTTCACGCACAAAAACCAATCATGAAACATATGTCGAAGTATAGTTGTTAGGCGAAACCTAGAGGTTTCGTAAATGGCGAATGGCGAAACCTGGCTTCGACTTTCGCCAAAAAAATTTAAAAAGACGAAATGACGAAACTGGCGAAAGGTGACGAAACTCGAAAAAGACATGAAACTAATGTAACTGTTCATTGTTCTCTAAATCTTACTTCTATATTTGTTCTAGAAGTAAGATGTTATCCTTAGGCACTATTACACACTCTTGATGTTTAACATATATATTAATTTAATAGTATAAAATTTTAAAAAGCATATATAAGTTAGATTTAGCATTGTAGATGTTATATCTGTCGTTTAAAGTAGCTTTAGTTACTCTCTTGATTAGTAAGCCTGCATGTTGATAATTGAGAAGAGGTTTCATGGCTGTTCTAACAGTGCAAGACCACTTTATTAGGTTCCACAGCTGTTTCAGCAGTGCAAGGACCTCCAAGTCAGGCTCCGTGGCTGTTTTAGCAGTGCAAAGCATCATAATCAGTTTCACAGTTGCAATGACAGTGCAAGAACCTATGCATACATTGAGCATTTTATGTTATTTCTTTAGCACAATATTACAATTAATTACCTGATTCTCTTTTTTGTTATAGAAGTTTTCATAATAGTTTACATGCATTTTATGGTTAATGCAACTACCATTTTTTAGTCTTGTTTAAATTAGGGTAGAGTTTTAAGATGATGAACCTATTCTCATATGTTTTTTCATTTGATTAATAACAAAGATAAAGTTTCTAATCAAGAAATAATAATTGTTTATTTTATACTATAAATATTTTTGTAATTGTAATTTAGAGTATGCTATCTGAGTTCTTAAAAATTATAATTAGAATTTAAATAAAGATAGCAATATTGAATAGATTATTAAATATATTGTAATTATATTTAAAATTATAACATTACTATTCTATAGCATTGATCACATATTCAATACTGCAACAATCTATAAATTTGCTAAATGCAAAATATAATGTCAATGTTTCTTACATCTTCTATTTCTGGTTTTGCATAATAACATCATGCAGCTATCTTATATAATTCTATTTTAACTTCAAGTTAATAGTAATAACAGATTTTATAGTATAAACTTTTATTTTAACTCTAATATTTAAATTTTAACCTAATAAGATAGTTATATAATGCAATAATACCAGAAACTAGAAATGAAAGCAAATATAGTAGCTAACAAATAGTTCAAGTAATATACAAATGAAAAATAATTTAGATCTTATTAAATATTTAATATACAAGACATTGTATAATAAATTATTTGGTTTTTAAGTTATTCAGAAAATTATTTTACTATAACCTTTGATATTTATTAATTATTATTTAATAATCCAATAAAAATTCTATAAATAAAATAAAAAATGTTAAATATCAAATAAATAAACAAATTAATCTATATTGAGTTACTAATTTTTGAGTCTAAAATTCTTGCTTTTATTATTATTAGTTATTAAAATATGATATTTCATTCAATTATACTCTTTTAATATTAGAATATTATAACCAATTATATAAAAAATATATAAAATACAATAAATTGCATTAGTAATTAAAAATGATATAAGAATGTAATAACAAATTATGTATTTTTAAAAATAATATATAAATTATTATAAATAATATTAAGTAGTCTTAAAGAAATAATAAATACAAAGTCATATTTATAAATAATAAAATTAGTATTATAAATAAAAATTAAAATGAACCTTAGAAGTAAGAGTGTTTCAATACTTTATTAAATATTAAATCTTATTATAATACATTGTTTATAATAAAACACTAACAATATAAACTTTATAAATTCTTATAATCATAATTATGCATTCAAGTTCTTAATTATATAACTTATTCTGTTTGTCCTTATTAATCTAAAATAATTAAAAACATTAATTACTTATAGTCAAATCTAATTTCTTTTTTATAATGATTACCTATTATATATTTTACAAAATTTTAGATTGTAAAACAACTGAATCACAGTATTCTATATTTAATATTCTCTAATTACTTAAATGTATATATATATCTATTGATCTACTTGCATAATGAATTTATATGTAAAAAATAATCAAAATTTGATAAATCAATTATATAGACTAATCAAACTTAGATTTTATAAACAAATTCTATTTCAAATATCATATATATAATTTATATATTCATTATATTCATATTAGTACACTATTAAATCATTACTTGTATATTTAATATAACAATTATAAATTAATTAGAAGACAGAAGTATTTATAATTTAATTCAAATATTATGACAAATGAGTATATGTAGGTATTTGACAAATTTGGTTCTAAAAGAAATAAAGATAATAGAATATACACAAATTTTAAGTAATTTAATATACTTTATATTTGAAATCAATTATATAATCTTTTTTTTTTTGGTGTTAAGATGAGACCTTACTCATATCTTTATTAATAATTTTAACTGTATATTTTAGTACAGAAATACTGAAATAAACTAAGGGTTGTTTGAAAAAAAATAAAAATTATATGCAAGAATGAGAGCTCAAACTAGTTTATCTGTGACCTAAACTAACAATTATATAACTTTTGATAAATACAAGAATGAATAACCAATAATTGAATAAATTTCTTTTAATAGTTTCATTAATGTTCAAAAAGATGATAATGAGTTTTTAGTGATGTGATTAAATTAAATGTATTATATAATTATGAATATATTATAATAAATATGAATATTATTAACATTAAGGGTTTCATGCATTTTTGATTATAACTTTAGATTTACCAAACCAATTTGAATGAAACAACTATCATAAAATTCAGCTTACTAAGATAGTTTTAATAAGCACAAGTTTATATAATTCTGATTATAAGATCAAAAGATTGAGATGATTTTGATAAAAATACTAATTCTAGTACATATATCTTAATTCAGATTGGCTCACATTATTGTACAAGAAATTTAATATTTCTAATAGATCTATTAGATCTAACATATCTAACAAATCTAATAGATAATTTGAATAAATCTTTTTCTATAAATCATTTTTATACAAAAATAACTAAAAATCAGTCAGTACTAAAATTATTAATATCTAGTTATTTTATCAAGATATCTAACTATAGCATCTTAAGTAAACTTGCTTAGCTTCTAATTTTATATATATTCTGAAAGTTTTAAAAAGATAGCTCTCAAACTCACAGTTTAATACTACAATAACAGCCTTTGGGTTTTTAAACCTTTCTTTTAATTATTTCTTAATAACTAGTTTTATAACCTACTCTATAGTTCTAAGAAAAGTTATAGAGCTCATTTCTTCAATTAAAACAAGGTTTAAATGAATCTAATAGATTTAATATTAATGGAGATACTTTAAAAAATAACTTTAACTCTCTTATAAACTCTTTAAAAAATACTTTCTTATTTACTCCTAATTTTTTTCTCTTACATGATTTTTGTGTAATATTAAATTATTACTACAATTATTTTTATAATAAACTAATTAATATTACTTAAAATATTATACAATTTTTTATTGGTTTTTTTTCTTTTATTAATTTGATTTTGTACACTATTATAAAACTTTTTTGAAATATATAACTAAATTGTTACATTAAGTCACACTTGTCATACCTTGTACTATATAAAGTACACAAAATTATTTCTAAGTTTACACAAAGCTGCAGCAGCTGTAGTAGCTGTGGTAACTGCAATATTATTCCATATCTTTGTCAAGTCAACCCTTACTATTATAAAATTTATATATTAAAAACTTTAATAGTTAATAATAAAAAATTTTACTAAATAATATTAACTTTTATCTTTAAATATATCTGTAGTATTGTCTCTTTTTTATCAAACAGAATATCTACTTTGACTACTCAAGAGCTAGATCATTTTGATCTTGACTATTTCTATAACAAGTACAGTGATCATTATAGTACAATGATCTAAGAAATGCAATCTATACAACTTAAAGTAAAGCTATTTGTATTTAACCTATCTAAATACAATATTGCTAAATCTTTTTATTATTTTAAAACTCCTACTCAACCTACCATTGTCTACTATTATTGTCAAAAATTCTATACTCTTTTTACTTCTAGTAATTTTAATATTTTATCTAGACAAGCAACTCCTTTTTCTTCTTCCTAAAAATCCACATATATGAATATTGACATTACATCTAAACAAGTTAAACAACTTAAAGAAATTATTTCTTAATTACCAATTACAAAAACAACTATTGTTCCTCTATTACTATTTTCATTGAACTATTCTACAACTCAACAAGGAACTTTATCTAGTTTAATACAAACTTCTCAAATCTAAGTACATTTTTATTATGTACATACTTGTATTATTTGTCAAAATAAAAACATCTTATGTGCTTTCTTAGAAAATAATATACACTTATTTCTTGACAAATCTATTCTTATTATTAAGAAATTTTTAGTACATTCTAAATGTATTCACAAACTCAAACTCAAACCTATTATTCAAACTAAAACACTTACTTTTATACAAATTTAAACTGTTCTTGTAATCAAACTTATAAACAAATATAACAAAAACAACAAAATCTATATCAAAAACAACCTATTATCAAGAATCCTTTTATTTTCAAACTTATACTTCTTATTTCTATTATAAATGAAACAATTAATAATGAACAACAACAACAATACTAATAATCAAATAAACAATTCTATAGTCAATCAGCAAGACCTAACCTCAATCCACTATTTGACTAGTTAACAAATTTCTCAGCTATTGATAAAATGCAAAATAATATAAAATTAGAAACTAAGATATTACATTAACTTTTCAACTTCCTTAAAAAACATTTATATAATATTTATTCTAATAAAGTTCTTAAAGAAGTTACAGAAACTAAATATATACTTAAAGCTAGTTTCTATTTATTAATTAGACAAATGGCTAGTACTAGACCAAAATTTCTTATTGATCTAATTCAAAAACACAACTTTGAAACAGATAAAGCTGCAACAATTCCTTTTAATATTTTAGAAAAAAGTCTTAAAAAACTTATTTATATATTCACAATCATCTTCTTTACAAGACTCAATTATTCTAAAATATTTGTTTTCTCTGCTACAATTTTACCAATTAAAACTAAAAACTGTTTACAATTTTGTCATAATTTCACTTGTTTATATTTATATCTTTCTATAATTATTAAGCAATTAACTATACAAAATTTGTTAAAGATATCAAACTCAGACCTAAAAGGTTTAAGATAACATCTAAGGTTACTGATTTTGACAAAGAACAACAATATCTTGAAAAAAATGCATTTTGAGATATAAGGTATAAGATTTAGTTTAGGTTTTGAAGATTTTTTGTGTTTTTCTTTCTGCTTGTTTAATTAAAGTGTAATTTATTTCAGATATTTTATCAAAATAGATAATTGATTTAATATCAAACTGAATTTTAATCTCCCAAAATCTCTTTTTTTTGACAAATATAATATACTATTACTTAAAAACCCACTTAGTCATTTTAATAAATAGTTTGAGAAAACCTTTCCATTATATAGTTGACAATTTTTCAATACACTTAATAAACTCCAACTATCTAACTACCTTAAATATGAATTCAGACAACACTTTATCTTA